ATCACAGGACACACACACATACAAAAATACATTTATATACAAACTGAAGCTGGAAATAGGCTGTATATATATCTATATCTATAATGAACATTCACCCTATTATTAGTATATTTTTAATGTTTATTTGTTTCCAGCAAATAGATATATCAAAATCTGTTTCAAGCAAATATCTATTTCTTTACTGAAAATTACACTGAGAGGCTTTTTCATATATCTTGAAAAGTTAGCTACTGATTTCTTCCTTCTTTGAACCTGGAATTAGGAGGCAAATCCTTTTATTCTCCCTCAGACAGTTCTTGACTCAAGAAACTGGAGGGACAGTCTTAGAAGAGTACACTTTGCCTTGGAATCAGAGAAACAGAGTTTAGACCTTTCACTGCAAAGTAATCAATTATCATGAAAATACTTTTATTTAGAAAAGATATGTTAAATACGTGGCCAACACCTAACAGGATATGTTCAAAGTACAACAAAAACTACTGAACAAAGGAACAAACAAGCAATAGTTTGTTATTCCTAAAATCACAGCTATAGAAACACGTGTGTTCATCAAATCTGTTCAGTGAGTCTTCCACACGTGAGAAACACCTTCAATAAAGAAGCATCCCAATTAGCCAAGGTATGCAGTAGTTAAGCCACAAAATATTATACAGCTGTCAAGAGTAATGTACTCCATCTTCTGAAATAAAAATGGGTAGGTATCCATTTTTACTTGCTATGATGACAGTGAAAAAAATATCAGTTGTACTATAATTCCCCCCATATTATCTACTTTTAAAAACACTCAATACAATAAGGCTTTCAGTGATTACAGATATATAAAAGCAGGGGGGAAGTTAAGGAGGTTCTGCAAAAAGATATATCAATAATAAAATTGTTTTCTCTGGGAAATGGAGGCCAAAATGTAGAACTCCAGGTGGTGTCAGGAATGTAACTGATCCTTTCCTGTACTGTGTTAAGGAGTATGTAGGCAGCTGTTACTTGTGAAAAGGAAATTAATGTTAAAACACTCGCTTGGGTGTGTTCTTACATAGAAAGTGATGGGTGACAGGAAATGAGGCCTTCTGGAAAGCAGACAGGCTTTTGGATTCTTAAAAGAAAACAAAATATTAGAAGAACTTAAACTTTAAAAAAAAAACAAGAGAACTCAAAGAACTTATTTTCCCCCAAACAGTAGAAAACTTTCACACATCTCTCTCAAAATCTAAAAATTCTTATACACAAAATAACGGATTATGAAGGAGCTAAACAGCACAATAAACTTTCTCAGTTAGGTATTTCCTCCCAGCAGAAAATATACATCTTTTCCAAAATATTCACAAAAACTGCCCACAAAAATAAAATCTTAATAGATATACAAAAAGCAGAAATAATGTCCAAATTCTCTACTAAAAGTTAGAAATGAAATTAGAAAAAATGTGTTAAGTCATAAGTTAACAATGAAAAGTGAAATATATAAGTTAATAATGAAAAATTATCAAATCAAACTACAAAAAGGACTATCCACATACAAGTGGACTTCTTGTTTTTTTTTTAAAGATTTATTTATTTATGCATACAAAAACTGGGGTATAGGGCAGAGGTACAGAGGGTGGAAAGAGTCACCAGAGACAGAGTGAGGAGCAGAACACTGCTGAGGGGAGCCGCAGGCAAGTCCAGAGAGGTCTGCTGTGCCATGGGTCTTAACTCCCTGGCCAGGAATCAAACTAGAGCTGCAGTGGCTGCTGATAGCTTCAGAGTGCTGTGATTTAGACCCCTGTACCAACAAAAAGCCCCAAGTGGCCGTTTTAAATCATGATGTCAGAACAACTGGGCAGACTTCTAGAACAGCTGAAATGGATCCTAAGTGAACTCTTTATATCAAAATTAACTACAGATGGATCAAATATTTAAACCTTAAAATTACAATACTAAGAAAATAAACTCAGGATTTTTAAAAAGATCTTGCAAGGGTGAAGAAACTGAGAAAATCTGAAAGTCATTAAAGAAAGGTTGATAACTTTCCTTAAATAATAACTAACATTTTGCAAAAAACACAAGCAAAAATTTGTTTATTTTTGCACAGGGGAAAAAGAAGGGAGTGATATAGACCAAGTAGGGACTGACTTCTTAAAATAGGATTCTGATAATGTAATACCTTTTTTTTAAAGACCAGTAATTAAATGCAAAAATAGATAAAGGCCATAAGCAGACAGTTCAGACAAAATTGACAGTAGCTTTAATTTTTAAAACCAATATTGGACTTTTAAAATACTTGAAAAGATGTTCAAACTCATTCACAGTTAAAAAAATTAATGACCTTTATATAACTACTTCTTTGGTGAACACAAAGCATGAAATACTCAGAGCTCTGAGGTGGTGGAATAAAAACAGGTTAGTAAGTAATTTGGGCCGTTTGTCAAAGTGTAAAATGCACATATCCTGTGAGCCCACGATTTAACTATCAGAAGTTTTTCCTACATTAGCTTAAGCAATGTTCTGAACATATATACAAGGCTAATCATGGCAGCATTTCTTGAAGTAAGAAAAGAGCAGAGAACTTTATCAGTATCAGAGAAATTAAGTAAACTATTAATCATATTCGATAGACCTCTATTCAACTATTTTTTAAATGGGAGGATCACCATAGTTGGATATGTGTGATTTCTGTTTATTAAGTGGTGCATACACTGGTCTATACGCAGATCTTTGAATAAAGCACATTGGAAGTTGCTTTGTGTTTGACTCAGAGAAGAGGAACTAGAGGTCAAGTAGACAGGAAAGAGAGATTACTCTGTACTCAATACTTTTTGCACAGTCTAAAATTGTACCATGTGCATGTATTACTTACCCTAATGATACATGTACCTATTTAAATTAAAATCTCTAAAGACCCATTTCATTCAGATGCTAGAAAGGAGCTAACCTAGAGCAAATACTTTTTAGTATCATTATGTTTAATGTTTTAACTATTTTAAATCAATGCCGATAACTGCTAAAATCTCATTTTACTGAATAAAACCAACCAAAAAAGTTAGAAGAAAGCAGAATTGCCTTTATTTCCTCCACAATTATTTTTTCCAGGTGTATAACAATATTTCTATTATTTCTAAGCAATAGTAATGTTTATTTAATTCATTTTTGATCATATAGCAAAGAAAGAACTATAATTTACATAATTATTGCATTTAGGATAATGTTAAAATGCAAATTTCCATATACATCTCTAATTATTTTTTGTAATGTTTTAAAAATAGATTATTCAATAGCATTTTCTGACAATATACATTAAAAATAATATTACAATCTGAAGCTGTGAGTGTGGATATAAGATGCCTGTCCCTTCACACCTGTGCTCTATAATCTGCTTATCCCTCATTTCATTATCTTGCAATAATGTGACAATGATTTATACATCATTACAAAATGGACACTTTAAAAAGAACGTGCTAGCAAAGCTTCTTTTCCCGTCTAGGTTTTCGAGGACACACTGAGATGAGATATCCAGTCTTTTTCTTTGTTTAGGGCCCGCAGGTCCCTGTTCAGAGTACCTAGGGAACCATTGTCTACACAGAATCGCACACCATTAACAAAAGGCTGCTCAAGGTTTGGGTAAGTAAGACGAAGGGTCGTTCTGATTTTGTGGAATCTGGGCTCACTCTATGAGTTCTTGGGCTAGGAAATTTGTTAGAATAATATTTTTAAAAGAACATTCATTGTTTTATTTCTCTAACCCTAAAATAGGAAAAGTAATGCATGTTCCTTAAAGAAAGTGCAGAAAAGTATAAAAAGAAAAAGAAAAATCACTTAGATACTTGCCATTTAAAAGTAATTCTTTAGTGACACTTAGTGACTTTTCCCCAACTTTATTCATATGTAATATAAAAATTGTGTGTGTATGCATATATAAAATATATAAATCAGACTATTTTGACATATAATATATATAAGACAAAAGGTTAGGGTTGGATAGAAATACCTCCAGGAAGTCTACTTTTGATTAAATAACATCAGTTAAAAAAAAAAATTGTAAAAGACATTTGTACTTTATAATTGGCAAGCATGTTTGATACTTTATATAATAAATATATGCCTAAAAGTACTTTAATATAAATAAACATTTATATTACACATAAATATTTATAGCATAGATCCATGTAAACATAAAAGTAGTTTTTCTCAAACATGGAAGCGGCTCAAATGCCCAAAAGTAGATGACTGGATTAAAAAGATGTGGTACATATATACAATGGAATACTACTCAGCAACCAAAAAAGAGAAACACATGTCTTTTGCAGCAACTTGGATGGAGCTGGAAAAGATCATGCTTAGTGAGATAAGCCA